TCTGGAGGGTTCAAGTTGTCAGTGTTCTTCATGTCGAACGTCTCCCCCCCCGTCTCCCCCCCCGTCTTACCCTAGGCCAACGCTGCGCCCAATCGTAGGGTCGACGCAACTTCCAAGGGAGCAACGACGCCACCAACCAACCAACCCCATCGGCTTGTTCCCTTGGATCCCTGCCAACAGGTATCGTTCCCCCCAACCTCCATGTTTTTGACCTCTCTCACGTTAGCAAATAGTTGAAACGGCACTTTTTTCTTTGCTTTTCTCCGCAGCCCGCCCTGCAGAGTTCCCGATTCTTTTTTAAAAAAAAAAATTAAAAAAAATATATAAATATAAATATAAATATAAATATAAAATATAAATAAATAAATAAATAGATAGATAGATAGATAAAAACAGGCAATTTCCTTGCAAAAATTATCTCTCAAATGTTCGTCGCTGGCAAGCATGTAGATGGAGATGTCTCTCATTAATGGACGCGATAGACAGCAATCGCAGTCTCACGATGGCAAAATCCCAATTTTCAATGTTCTTCCTGTGCCACACTGTTTCTCGGTTAGTGACGTTTTCGGTGGGCAGGTCCAAGATGGGTGGGGCGGATATTTCGATATTCGCTCTCCGCACTCCCAGCTAGGTCGAATTTATGGAGCTCAAACTTTTTCCTCCCACCTGATCGCTGCCCGCCCTCTATCAGGCTCAGGCATCGACAGAAGTCGACATGTCTTCTTATTCAGCGTCTCGAGTTGCGAGCAATGGGCAAAGATCAGTTGACTATGTAGCCAGCTACACGCACATCTCCGTATGCTGTTAAAAGGTAAAGCGATCCATCATATTTCTCAGACCCCTGACCCCTTTCTAATCCCTCATCGAATTACCCCTACATGGTGTTAGGGCGGTGAAGGTGACGACTTGTGAGTTATTCTGTCTGAATGTCGCCTAACTAGTCAGTCAGCTAGGCTGGTCATGTCATTGCATGGGGTTATCAAGCGATGATCTTGATTTTGAAACAGTGGGTCTCGCTACAAATCAGGCTCAACTGTAATCTTAACTTTATTAATCAAGTTTACTTTAACTGCTAGTTATATGATAAAATATCTCTTAATGATAGTTTTATTAAACAACTTTTTAAAAAGTAGGTTATTTAAATTAGATCTTTAATTTATTTAATAAAATATGTTTAATTAATTATGCTTAAATGTATTATTATTATTATTATTATTAAATAAAATTTAATTTAAATAATAAAAATATATTTATTAAATTTATATATATATTAAAATAAAAACTAATAATTAAATTAATTTTTTATAATTATAATATATAAATAATATTAAGCTTTATAATATTTAATTAATTTTAATATATTATTCTTATAAATATAAAAATAAATAACTCTATTTTATAAAATTAATATTTATTATTTATTTATTTCAATAATAAAATAATAGATAAGTAATTAGAAGAATTTAATTTTATTATTATTTTTTATTATTTATTTATTTTTATAAAATATTAAATTTATTAAAAAATTAATAAAATAAAATTAAAATTTAAAAAATAAGTAAATTATTTATATAAAAAATAATTTAAATATAAATAATTTTAAATATATATAATTATAAAATTTTATCTTAAAATAAAATAATATTTTAAATAAATATATAATAAAAAATAAATTTATATATTTTTAATTTTAAAAAAAAAATAAAAAAATTATAAAAATTATAAAAATTATAAATTAAAATAAATTAAAAAAATTTAAAATTAAAAAAATTTAAAATTTAAAAAATTAATAAAATTTTAAAAAATAAAATAATATTTAATATTTAAAAAGAAAAATATATTTAATTAATTTATAAAATAATTTTTTTAATTTTTTATAATTATTATTATTTAAAAAATTTATTAAAATAATATTTAAATTTTATTTATATAAAAGAAAAAATTTTTAATAAAAACTTTTTATTTTAATTTTATTTTTTATTTTATATATTAATTATTTTTTAAACTTTATTTATTTAATAAAATATAATTTATTAATTTTATTATTAATATAAAATAAAAATATAATTTTTTAAATTTTTTTAAATTTTAATATAGTTTTTTATTATTAATTTTTTTTTCTATAATATATATATAAATACTTTAAATAATAAATTTAATTATTTTTATTTTTATTTTAATTTTATTCTATTTTCTGAATTCTATTTTCTAAATCAATTTAATATTTATTTGATAATTTTAAATCTCATATTTAAAATTTTATAATACTATTAGACTATTTAAAAATATTCAAATATTTTTAATATTGAGTTCTTGAGTGATAATTTTATTAGTTAACAGAGAAGTAAGTCTTTTGAATTGCAAATAACTCTGCATTAAAAACTTTATATTTCATTTTTAAATTTCAAAGTATATTTCATGCTTAAAACATAAGAAATTGTTGATAAAAGAATTTTATACTATCATTCTACTACAATGTTCATCAGATGAAAATAGTCATAAAAGGTAAAGTAATGAAAAGTATTAATCATATTTTTTATACTAGTTATGAGCAAGAAAAGTAATCTTATATTAATGTCATATGGTTAGTATGATCTCAGCAGTAGAGGTTTCGACCCGGCCGAGGTAAAATCCAGCCATCCTGAGGTCGACTCTTCTACCGCTTGGTCACGTGTATCCGCTCGGCTGTCCAATAAAAGGCATTTCCGTGCCAGCTGAGACTGGGAGGCTATGTATGTATGTTATCCCACAGCCACAGTCAGTTGACCAGCCACATATTTTTTGGATTTCATAGTTGATAACATCGTCAGTGGGATGAGATTAGGGATGCATCGCAAAACTACGAATCCCGCAGGGAAAAATGGGTTTAGTTTTTGTATTAAAAAAGAAAATATTAACAGGAAATCCCGGTAGCCAAATGTGCCCGTTTTATGCATGATCAAACCAGTATCTGTTGAAAGTTTCGTGCGAATGGCCCGCGCCCGCACTACATGTCATAAGGTTCCAGACTGGGTTGGAAATTATGGAATGCATAAAAATCGGAAAATAATGCAAAGGGCGGGAGTTAATCTGGACCGATAACATGCATAGGTTAGTTCATAGTTACTTGTCTTCTGCCGGCGTGCGAGGGTAGTTAGCGAACTCATAAACCCTAAAAAAACATATCCATAAAGAAACACCTTTTTGACAAGATGATATTATATTAACATCCGAAAGTGGAGAGATTCAGGTATGCGATGGTGTTGAAATGAGTATGAGCTGGAGAAATTCCATTTTTCTTTTTCTTTCTCTTTACTTACCTGTGTTAACTGAATGCGAACATTTTTCATGTTCAGGGCAAGGGATTTCGGACGCGGGAAGACGACCGTGGAAGAATAGTTGTATATATTTTCATTACCCCGTCACAAAGTCGCCTGAACTGAAACCATGCCAGGAACAGAAAATCTTTGGAAACCCTTTTTACATTAACGTCCAAAAAAATGGAATTTGTTCTCGAGTTGTTCTACAATTGCTCCTATCACCCCTAACTCATCAATCTGCCGCCAGTCACGTGTATGTCAAGACGCCGCCTTTCAACTTTGACTTCCCCGCGTCATGACCATATGTTTAAAAAAAAAAAAAAAAAAAAAACCATCGCTGCTCAAACTCAGTCTCCTCCGATGCCCCTCTTCAACTCAAGATGACCACAGAATTAACACCCCAGGAGAAGATCGCCCTGATCTATCAGAATCTCCAAGAGGTTCTCAAACCGGAGATTATCGAAGATGTTATTGTGCGACAGAACAGACCATTGAAGGTGTACTTCGGTGAGTCTGTCTCGCAAAAGAATATATTTCGTTTCCCCCAGCACAATCGCCCCATGCAAAGAAAAATATATATACACTGCAAACTACATATATAAATACTTTAGCCAAACAGACACACTAAACCCATAACCCTCTCACAATGCAAAAATTCCCACATAGGCACCGCAACAACCGGCAGGCCACACTGCGGCTACTTCTGCCCAATCGTCAAACTCGCCCACTTCCTCCAAGCAGGCTGCCACGTCAAAATCCTCCTAGCAGACATCCACGGCTTCCTCGACAACCTCAAAGCACCCATTGACCTCGTCAATTACCGCGCCGAATACTACCGCTATGTAATCACCGCCCTCCTCGAAGCCATCCATGTCCCCATCGAGAAACTCGAATTCGTCCTGGGCAGTGACTACCAGCTCTCCTCCCGATACACCATGGACCTATTCAGACTCAGCAGCGTGGTGACGGAGCACGATGCGAAAAAGGCCGGTGCGGAGGTTGTGAAGCAGGTTGACAATGCGCCGTTGTCAGGGCTCATATATCCGCTCATGCAGGCGTTGGATGAGGAGCATTTGGATGTCGATGCGCAATTTGGCGGGGTTGATCAGCGGAAGATCTTTGCGTTGGCGCTGGATACGTTGCCGCGGATTGGCTATAAGGAGCGGGCGCATTTGATGAATCCTATGGTTCCTGGGTTGGCGGGGGGGAAGATGTCGGCGTCCGATCCGGATTCGAAGATTGATATTTTAGATACGGCTGAGGTGGTTAAGAAGAAGCTTAAGAAGGCGTATGCCGTGCCGAGGGAGACGGAGGGGAATGGGATTATTAGCTTTGTGGAGTATGTGTTGTTTCCTGTGTCGGCGTTGGAGAGGGAGGATAGGAAGGGGAGGTTTGTGGTGGAGAGGAGGGAGGAGGAAGGGGGGAATCTTGTTTACAGGGATATTGAGGAGGTTAAGAGGGATTATCGGGATGACACGGTAGGATTTCTCTTTTCCTTTGCCTATTCTTTTTCTTTTTATTTCATTTCTATCATATCTTTTAAGCTGTATTTATTTTTCCCCCAATGCTGAATGCTAATGCTAATTAACAACAGTTAACACCCCAACTCCTCAAAGCCGCCGTAACAACCGCGCTCAACAACCTTCTTGCACCTGTCCAAGCGGCTTTCCTGGCCAACCCGGAGTGGCAAGAGATCGAGAAGAAGGCATATCCGCCGCCACCTGAACCAGAGAAGAAAAAGAAGAAGCCCAAAGATAAGGGGAGCAGATACCCTGGTAGTGATGCGGCGAGGAGTGGTGATGTTGCTGCTGCTGCTGATGCGAAGGTGGATGGGAAGAAGCCAGATGATGTTGAGGAGAAGCTGGAAAAGTTGAAGGTTCAGGGGTAGATGGATGGGTAAAGATGCGGGGTGGCGTAAGCACGTCTGGCAACAAGGGGGCTAGAGAAAAGGGCTGGTTGATTGTGCTCTACCTCTTTTATGCGACTAACGACTGGGTGACTTGGGTAGGAAATAGGTGGAGAAATTTAAATGTGGGTACGCGGAGAGGGTGAACAAGTATACACGAGACATGAAACATCATGAATTGGTGACAGACCGCCTTCCTTCCGCCTTCCTTCCGCCTTGCTTCCGCCTTGCTTTTGATGCCTTTATGTTATAGAATGGGGAGTTGACTTGTCAACTTCAATCGATTTTCAATTCCAATGCAACTAGCTACACATGTGGTGGTTACTGACACATCCCAATATATGTTTTAAGATCGACATGCGTCTGCGTCAAACAAACGGTCTTCCTTTGTATAGAAGAGTGGATACCAAATAAGTTTCCTCGGGTGGCTTTCCCACACAAATCTCCAAGGGAATAATGATGTCAGAGTGGCTCCTGCGTCTGAATATATGTATAATTCTTTCGAATCCCCCTTTCTTGGTGATGAGCATTGCAGTGCTACAGCTAGAGGGGACCTGTAGCATTCGATCCCTACCCCCGATATACGGCCAAATACACCTGGGCTTCGGCGGGAACATTGTCGCCGCGAGTTAAAGTCCGGAGCTGACGGTCGGCATCTCCTCTCTCGGGTTTGACATTAATAAGTGGGGAATTGAGGTTGCGGTCACGCTACTGTTAGTCGACCGGCAGGGAACTTTAGCTCATGGTCCCAGCGTTACATCCCAGACAACTGCCGGCGTGAATGCAACAGTTGGAGTCGGAGAGGTGTCTGTGGCTCTTGGGGGATTGTGTCTGGTCTGAGATTGTATACCTGCTTGCTGGGTTGCGATTCAGGCTTATGAACCCTCACATCTACTGCATATAGGTTCATATACTCTCAGAATTAGTAGTTAAGTTAGTGAGAGAGTCCCGTGCGCTGACACAGCCTTGACTAAGCAAACACGTGGGTCTAGCGCTGCTTCGGGACAGGCCGACCGGGCCTTTGTTAGTCAGCAGCTGCCGTACGGCGTTGTTTCGCTGTTTGGACGGATCTTGGACGTGCTTTTCGGGCTTGGGATGCTTGGATGCTTCGCTCTATTCTATCCCGAATGATAAGTCAACTGTCAGTCGTCGAATATTACGCTTTAAACACCACCTCCCATTCCCCAACATACCTGGATGCTTTATGCTGCCTGGGAGTATCTTCCGTCGTAGGAACGGATGAAGCATAGCTCCTTATTTTAGCCTCTTTGTCCGCCTCACCCACGTCCCCTCGCCTAGCTCTTACCCCGTTGTCCTTCCTTTGTCCCCGTATGTCCGGATATATATGCACACTGCAGTTTCTGAAATGGTTTAGCTTTGGGATACCGTCTACTCTTCCTCTCGCCATCTCTGTCTCGTCGCTGTGTATATCCCGTGGCCAACGGATTACGTTTGGAGCCAATGAGCCAGTTGGTTTCACCTTCGTAGCCTTTCCTAGCCTTTCGTATCCACGTCTCCCAACCCGGGATTTGAGCTGCTCACAGAGTTCATATCTGACCCCGAGCTTCGTGGCACTTCACAATCATATCTCCCCTACATCCGCCGTCCAAGTCCTTTCCACTTCTTAATTCCACCCGCCACCCACCTTGTCCAATCCAACATCTACGCTGAATAACGGCCGGATGAATCACATCCACTCGCGTCGTCTGAGAGTGTGAGAGGCGAAAGCTTCAACCCCCCGTCCAGCTCTCCATTTCCCCCATCCTCCCCCACCGGGGCTTTTGATCTCCTTGGAGCGGCCAGAAACTTAGATTTGCGGCAGCATGGCAAGGCGACAGCGGGATAAAGATAGGAACTTAAGGCGTGGTTCGGAAATGCCAAGTTCTCTCCTCTGGCGGTCCCCTGATGCGTTGCTGATATCACACGGTCATGGCTTGGAAAGGGAAACCCGTCGTCCCAGTAGAGCCAGGGAGATTTCGGATCAGGATGACAGGTATGTTTGATTTCGTTTTTGAAGAAGCAGTTTTGCTTCGTGATGAATTGTTAGGTCCTGTTTGGGCACATTGGAGGCCTTCATTTTGTTGAAAATGTGGGGAAACGCTGTTGCGCAAACGTTTTATACTTTTTTTTTTTTTTTTTTTTTTTTTTTGTGTTTTCTTTTCCAGAAGGCTGAACTCGACATCCAGACACGCGTCGTCCTCTAAGAGTAATAGTAACGCCCCCTGTAGGCCGCATTCCCCCGACGTATCCCCAACAGAGGTCCCGACTACCAGCTTTGGAAACCATAAGAAAGCCCTTGCGATTCTTGGCGCATCGGATGACCCATCAGTCTCGCAAATGTTCCTCCAATACTCAAGCACAAATGCTCGGAAGCGGTCGCCATCATGGACACCACCCGCGTCGTTAAAAACGACGGCGACTCGGGGAACCTTCTTTAACGATGGTTCTGATGCGGAGGAAACCTCCCCCCAATTTCAGCTAGAGGCTGCCCGAACCGATCCCAGTAATTCCCCAGAACCCGTCCATGACGAACATCGCAGACCGTCCGTTGCTAGCGCCACTACTGTTAGTAGTCAAGGATCGAAAGGCAGCGGTGGACGATTCCACAAACGCCTGCGCGGTTTCTTTGGGGATGAGCATGGCAGCGCGTCAGATTCGGCCCTCCCGGAGCGGAGTCTGTCAAACCGGATTCCTACGTCATCCGGCAGTCAATCAAAGGTCCGTGAAAGAAATAATTCGACTCATCTTTGCACCCCCCAGAGCGTTTTTTACCTTTTGGTCGTGGTTCCCGACCACGCACTCCTCTACCTTCCAGTGATGTTACCCCTTGGATGTATCAAAAGATCAATGTAATATGGCACGAAAAGTTCCTTTGTTAATCGGAACTTCCCTTAAGGGAAGTCTATATGCGTTTCCTGCCGTTTCATGTTCTCAAATTGCTTCCTTCGTAAAGTCTTCTGAAGGTATCTGGATAAAACTTCACGACTTGTTGAAACTGCATATTATTAATCCCTAGCTCTATAACCCTCTCTCCTTTCATTATTTGGTTTGCCCATCCTTTCTCTACCATTTTTAGCTCTCTATTTCTAATTAGCACCCCTCAGTGACATTTTCATTATATTCTCGTCATTTCATCTTGGAATTATACTGGAACTTTTATGCTAATGTGGGATTGTAGGATATACCAAACTATGGAGATGCACCTGTGTATCCAGTTCCAGGAGACCCGGATATTGAACGCTTTGGTTCCATGACAGATGGGGAGCGTGACTCAAAGAAGGATTCTCGTCTTCCTTTCCACAGACATCGGCATGCTCGGAGTAAAGAAGAGAAGCCATCAGACCCAGGGTCTAACTCGCAACACATTTGCAGATCTTCTGACCATGACAACCACAAACAAGTGTATAGTAAAGTAAGAGAGGGCACCCTCTCTCCAACTATCCCCACCGCTCTAGGAGCCCGCTCGATCAGTCCTTCGCCTAGTTTGCAGGGCGGTAGTGGGCAAGAATCTCAAGGGACAAGGTCGCCTGGAGGTTCATCCAACAAGCGATCATTTTTTACGAAGATTCGACGCCATCCAAAAGCTCCAATCGGGAGTAGTCTTCGGGGTATGCCATCTTCGAAATCTGCCTACGACGGTGGTGGGAAGGGATCTAGGTTTTTGAAACGAGATATGTCTCCCTCTAGATGTGGTCGGAATTCGAGCTTTGATAGTGTCACCAATACAAAACCGTGGGAAAGTGTCGAGTCTGACCGCAAAAAGGAGTCTGCGAAGGGGGTATCCAAGTTCCGCCACCCGCGTTTTCCGTTTGGTCATGATACTGGAAATAAGGATGACAAAAACCGCCAAGATAATTTTGAACAAGATCGGATCTGGAAGTTAGATACTGATCTGACAAATCTCTCTGGTATCGTCGCACAACCTCAACCTTTATCCCCTACCGATTGTGGTGGTATATATACCGGAACTCCACTTCCTGAACATAAGGAAAGAGAATTCCGCAATCCCTTTGAACCCTCCAGCACTGGTGACTGGCATGCTCCAGAGAGCTGGGCTGTGAGGAAAGTTGGGGATGACATTTTGTCCCGGCTTCCTGAGCTCACTGATGATGGCGGGGCGATGGTAGATGACGAAGGGCGACCGTACTGTGTCCGCATCTTTCGCATCGACTCTACCTTTACAACTCTTTCCTCTAATCTGAACACTACCGTGACCGAAATACTGGAAATGCTTGGCCGCAAGTCGTTCTTGCAAGATGAGCTGAATAACTACGATATAGTCGTACGGAAGAATGACCTTTCAAGAACTCTGGACTACGGGGAGAGGCCGATTCTCATGCAAAAGAAATTGCTCGAGCAGGCTGGATATCAACCATCTGACCGTATAGCGGATATTGGTCGAGAGGACAATAGTTACCTCTGCTGTTTCACTTTCCTTCCCACAAAACTTTCGGGCTATTCGAGTCTGGATGCTGACTTGGGAATCAACGAGAACCAAAAGTTTAGCCACGTCGACTTGCACGGGCGCAGTCTCATCACCCTGCCCATCACGCTCTATAAAAGGGCGAGTGAGATCATATCCTTGAATCTTTCGAGAAATTTAGCCTTGGATATTCCGAAGGATTTTATTCAAAGCTGCATCAACCTCCGTGAATTAAAATATATCGGAAATGAGGCATGGCGTCTTCCGGCAAGCTTAAGCTTGGCGACGCGGCTTACATATCTAGACGTATCCAACAATCGGCTTGAACAGTTGGATAACGCAGAATTACACAACCTGCAGGGACTTGTCAGCCTGAAAATGTCGAATAATAACCTCTCGACGCTGCCTGCTTATTTTGGAGACTTCCCTGCATTACGAAGCCTGAATATTTCTTCCAATAGTTACCGCACTTTTCCCGAGTGTTTATACAATCTGAAGAGTCTCGTTGATCTTGATATCAGCTTCAACAAAATCTCCGAGTTGTCGGATATTGGACGCCTTACGACACTCGAACGGTTATGGGTGACTAACAATGGCTTACATGGCCCGCTGGGTGAGACATTCAGAGATCTTGTCAATCTCAAAGAGATAGACGCACGATTCAACAGCATCACTAGTATAGATAACATCACTCACCTTCCACGACTAGAGCGGTTGTTGATTGGCCATAACAGCGTGTCGACATTTTCAGGCTCTTTCATGAAGCTGCGCACTCTTGCCCTGGACCATTGCCCAGTCACCGAGTTTGATCTCACCAGCCCACTTCCGACTCTCACCTCACTCAACATCGCGTCAGCCAAACTTGTTTAATTCAAGGATACCCTTTTTACCAATATTCCAAACCTGACTAAACTTATTCTTAATAAGAATCATTTCGTCACTCTCTCCTCCTATATCGGAACCCTCCGAAAACTTGAGCACTTCAGCATTTCGAAAAATCCCCTGTCAACTCTTCCGCCGACGATAGGATGTCTAACAGAATTGAAGTGCCTGAACCTACGCGAATGTAATCTCAACAAACTCCCTTCTGAACTGTGGTACTGCTGTAAACTGGAGACCCTGAATGTGTCATCCAATGTCCTTGACTCCTTTCCAAAGATCGCTGGCTCACCTCCTATTCCTCCAAACGAATATCATGGAAATGGTACTCCCGCAACCACTCCTGGTCTGGTTTCGCCAAGTCACGAAGAACTTGGAAAGCTGGAGGATTTCGAAGCCAGACGACCGAGTCATTCTTCCAGTGGTCTTCTGAGCGTGGGAAGTTCCTCTGCTAATTCATCAAATAGAAAAGGCTCAATTGTCTCGATGCCCCATAACCCGACCGTAAAGAAGTCTTCTGTCGCATCTCGAGGTGCAACTGAAACCCCATCCTCGCGCAAGGATTCAACCTTCTCGCAAAGAATATCGTTTACGTTTGCGGGATCTCTGAAACAACTTTATCTTGCAGACAATCGTCTTGAAGACGATGTATTTCAACAGTTGGCATTTTTGGTGGAGATCCGCATCTTGAACTTGTCCTATAACGAGTTGACGGAGATTCCGCAGGGTCTCCTTAGACGGTGGCAGTACTTGGTGGAGCTGCATGTCTCAGGAAATCAACTGAGCGCGCTTCCCTCGGACGACCTTGAAGAATCGAGTAGTCTAAAGGTATTGCACATAAACGGCAATAAATTCCAGGTACTTCCTGCGGAGCTCTGTAAGGTGAACCGCCTTGCGATTTTAGATGTGGGGAGTAATTCTCTAAAATACAATGTTTCCAACTGGCCGTACGATTGGAATTGGAATTGGAATCGCAATTTAAAATACCTGAATTTCTCGGGCAACAAGCGATTTGAGATCAAACCCAATACCTCTTATACTTCTGGGATTCCTGCCGTTAATAGCACAGATCTGACCAACTTCAACTCTTTGAAAACATCTTAGAGTCCTGGGCTTGATGGATGTTACTCTTACTATCCCTACTATCCCTGACCAGACTGAGGATAGGAGAGTGCGGACGTCATCATCCTTTGTCTGGCTCTCTTGCGTATGGTATGGCAGATAGCCTTGGGCGAAACGAACATCTATCAATAGTTGATATGCTTGTTACTCGGTTTCGAGGCAACCAGACGGAGACGGTTCTCGGTTTATTTGACGGCCAGTCCTCTTCTAGCAGCGGATCAAGGATAGCCAAATACCTTCAAGAGCACTTCACCACATCGTTTACAGAGGAGTTGAAAAAGCTTCGTCCATCAGGAGAAACCCCGCTCGATGCACTGCGGAGGACCTTTTTGGGACTGAACAAGGATATTGCTACGGCTGCTCAACGGTCTTCCATGGATGATCGCGAGCTCCATCATTTTGAACGTGGGACAACAACATCTAGCAAGCTACTCACGAAGGATGACTATAATTTAGGAGGCGTAGCGACTGTCCTGTATCTGCAAAATATGGAGTTGTTTGTTGCAAATGTTGGGGATGCTCAAGCGGTTCTTGTGCATTCGAATGGAGATTTCAAGTTTTTGACTTGTAACCACGATCCTGCTGAGGCTTCGGAACGGGAACGTATACGGGCAGCTGGCGGGTTTGTTTCCCGCAATGGAAAATTGAATGATAAGCTATCTGTGTCTCGGGCCTTTGGATATTACCCAATGATGCCTGCGGTTATTGCGGCTCCTAGCACCCGGAAAGTTACTTTGACCGCCCAGGACGAAATGATAATCCTTGCGTCAGGCGAGTTGTGGGAGTATGTTACACCGGACGTTGTTGTTGATGTTGCAAGATCTGAACACGGAGACTTGATGATTGCCTCTCAGAAGCTTCGTGACTTGGCCATTGCCTATGGTGCTACCAACAAAATCATGGTGATGATTGCCGGTGTCAGTGATCTTAAACGACGGGGTGAACGTCCCAAGCTCAGAAATCACAGTATCTCCATGGGGCTGTCTCCATTAACTGATGAACATCTCTTCACCACACCAAGCAAGATCAAGAAACGTGGCAGACCAGGCGACTCCAGGTTAGCACGTTTGGATCGCGTGGAAGCCCCTACTGGCGAATTGGCGATCATTTTCACTGATATTAAGAAATCCACGTCGCTTTGGGAGACGTATCCCGTTGCCATGCGCTCTGCAATTCAAATCCATAATGATCTCTTCCGTCGACAGTTGGCTCAGATAGGCGGATTTGAGGTGAAAACGGAAGGTGACGCGTTCATGGTCTCCTTCTCCACGGCCACCGCAGCGTTACTCTGGTGCTTCACTTGCCAAAGCCAACTTCTTGAAGCGGAATGGCCGACGGAGATCATGGAATCTCCTGCTTGCAGGCCACAGTATGACTCGGATGACAACATCATATACCGTGGGCTGTCTGTGCGAATGGGAGTACACTGGGGAACACCTGTCTGTGAACAAGATCCTGTTACTGGTCGAATGGATTACTTTGGCCCCATGGTAAACCGTGCCTCCCGCATTTCCGCAGTTGCGGATGGTGGGCAAATCTTCGTTTCAGCCGACTTCGTTGCTGAAATTCAACGGAATCTTGAAACATTTGCGGATTACGATCGGATCGGCTCTATGGATTCTTCTGAGGACAACTACATTGACGACTATCTCAACCACAATATCCGTCGCGAGCTTTATCAACTAAGCACCCAGGGCTTTGAGGTAAAGGATATGGGTGAGCGGAAGCTGAAGGGGCTTGAGAATCCTGAATTCGTTTACCTGATGTATCCACACTCTCTTGCTGGACGCCTCAACGCTCCACGAGCTGAGATTGAAGAGGCAGACACACTTCCCATTCCCTTGGGTCAAGATAAGCATCTCAGTATTGAAGCGGATCTAGTCTGGCGCCTGTGGACTGTTGCTTTACGTTTGGAAGCATTTTGCAGTGCCCTGGAAAATTTTGGAGAGATTGGTCTTCGGCAGCCGGAGATGGGCCTGATTGATGCAGTCAAGCAGCGCCCTGGGGAACTTTCGGATGCGGTGGTGTTGAGTCTAATTGAACATCAGGTTACGCGGGTCGAGGTGAGTTACTCTTCCCCACTTACATCACTATTAGATATTATAGACTAAACTAACGCAACGGAAACCCGTTATAGACATGTGCAAATACCCTCACAATCCGGCACATGATGAGGCCTTTCAAACGCGGAAACTCTCTGAAAGATATCGCCGTCCCCATGTCGGATATTCTCAATCAGTTGAAGGTGCAGTTGAGCGAATTTAGAGCTCTAAAGGAGTCAATAAGTCCCATCATCGACTCTCGGGATCCCCCACAAAGCCTTGCGGTGTTGAAGAGCCCCATACAGAGCTCGTCAGCCTTATCTGATATTATGGCCGTTGGTGGTTCTAGTTCTTCGAGCACGGCGTAAAGCTTTATAAAACCTGCCGCAGGAACAACTGCTTTATGAATGGAATCGAAGTCCTTGACAACAATTCTTTTATGCTTTTACTCAACTAGCGCCGATCGGATTGCAAGTCGTCTGGAGTTATTCTCTATTCCACCCTTTTTTCCGCTTCCACCTATTCTCTTTCGTCCGCTTTTGTTCTCTTTATCCCGGCCGTTGCCTATGACTTGATGTCCATTTGATTAATTCGTAGGGAAAAGCTGCGTATTTGGGAATTTAATTACCACCTTGCCGTATTACTTTCTGCCATATTTTTTTTTTATTTTTTAATTTACTTTATTTACTTAATTTTTTGGGTGTGGGGTGTTTTGCGTCTGTCTGCTTGGTACGATCGATATTGTTTCCATTTATCTTTTGCTTTCTCTCTGGCCGGTTCCATCGTTCATTTCTGGGATTACACCATTTTGTTTTTGCTGAGATCGGAGTGCGTGGCTGCTGGAAATGAGGAGTATATAATCTTATCCCCATTTAGTTATCCATCATTATAATTTGGTAAGCTTTTTGTATACTTACAGGTAATTTTGGTGTCAATGAAGGAATTTTTGCTTTCTTCGTTTCCTTGCAGAAAGGGTTCGTGGCTGGTGCAGGATGACGTAAAGTCACATGACATACCTGAACTGTGGAGTTAATATGTGGCGCGGCACCGCGCGGCGCGGCTCATCTTGTTTTGTTGCTTTCTTGTTGTCTCCGCCATCCAAATTGCATCAAAGCTACATCTCTCCACTCCATCATTCCATCCAGGGTCTTTTCAACTTGGCCTCCGGATTCGTCTTCGCAAAATACACTTTCTTATCCGCAGCTTTTGGTGCACGTGAATTTGTATTGATGCCGTAGTTGCAAGCGTGGATTTTTCCTGCTGTTGCCCTGGATACGGAACGCTTCACACGCACTTGATTTATTTTATGGCTCAACCTTGAGTAAGCGAAACAAAATTTTTTTTTTCTTTCCCCCTGAGAGATACACCGCTCACAAAGCCAACACAGGTAGAGTCCTGCTCCCGTGATAGACGTCAACCCATTCTTTACCTTTCCCTGTGGCGAACGATTCCTCGGTTGGTGAGCAACTGGTTCACCACATCCCATCATGACTTCGGATACAGATAACAGCAACCATGAGCTTGCGTACCTCGGCCCGGGTTTCGATCTTAATTCTCTGACGGTTCCCCGTATCCGTTCGATTCTAGTGAACCATGACGTTTCCTATCCGGCATCTGCAAAAAAATCCCAGCTCATTGAGATTTTGGAAAATGAGGTGCTCCCACAAGCTAAAAGGCTATTACGCGAGCGTGACCGAGTGAGGAGGACCAGTAAGGGTATTACAAACATGCCTGACAATCAAACATCACTACAGGATGAGTATCAAGATCAAGAGAGAGAATCGATGCCTCCACCATCTACACCGTCTATGTCACGGAGGGGCAGGTCGAGACCCAACACGAGAGCGTCTACGGCTGAGACGGATGACGGTGCTCTTCACCAACAACCGCCACCCTCATCTTCCAGAAAACGGACAACGGCCAAGCATCCTCGAGCATCCGACACAGAAACGGGAGAAGACATTGGTTCCCTCAGAGAAACGCCTCGCAGAGCAACGGCTCGGAAAACACGAAAGAGTGAGGCATTCCCAACCCCTCGCGCGTCTGCTGCATCTGAGGCTTTGCATTCTCCGCCCAGGCCCAAGTCCCGAGACAATGCTGTTTTCACCGATGATAATCCGTTCCAGAGTGGAAGCTCGCCGGTGGACCCTGCTTATTCCCGAACGAGGACTGCAAGCAGGGAACCAAAACGGAGAAGTGGGAGCAGATATTCTTCGGAACGAGCAACAGCAGATGGCCATGGTCGGAGACTTAAAAAACAGGAGAAAATAAAAGTTAAGCAAGAAGAAGACGTCGAAGTTCCAACTAGGTCAACTTTTGAAGTCCCTGGTGCCCGATTGATGACTCCCAAAGCTGAGGAATCGGAAGATGATGACCTTCTCGAGCCTGGAGAAGATTTTACTTCAGAAGAATGGAAATCCCTGGCGAAGGAGCAGGCGGCTAAAGAGCACCCAGGCACATGCTCAGGCTCGTTTATCCGCAGGCGACAAGCGCAGAAACAGAGAACGTTCAGCAGCGTCGCTCCTTGGGTCGTGATCTCCACGCTCTTGGGCGGATTTGGCGCTTGGTGGCGTCAAGAAAAGATTGAGATTGGCTACTGTGGAGTAGGGAAACTACATTGGTCCTTGGCTGACACTAAGGTGCCCGAGTGGGCGGAAGTTCTCGAACCAAAATGTGAACCCTGTCCTCAGCACGCATTTTGCTACCCCGATTTCGAGGTTAGATGCGAGCGCGATTTTGTTCTAAAGCCACATCCCTTATCCCTCGGAGGATTGGTCCCCCTCCCACCTACTTGTGAGCCTGACGGAGAAATGGTACGCCGTGTAAAATCGGTTGCTGATAAAGGTATTGAGTTATTGAGGGAACGAAGAGCACGATGGGAATGCGGTGAAACGGATAAAGCGGACGGAACTGAGGTTCCTTCTCCGGGAATGACCGCTTCCGAGCTTAAGGAGGAACTTACCAAACAGAAACGGAAGGGAATGAGTGACGAGGAGTTTGAGGAGCTTTGGAGAAGGGCTAATGGTGAAATATTCAATCGTGAAGAGATCGTTACTTCCACTCAAGGGTAAGGATTTGCCTTTTTTTTTTTTTTTAAAACTACTACGTTTAGGAGTTCTATTTGAAGAGACCGAGCCGTCGCCAGATGCGTTCTCAGTTATATAAACAAAAGGAACCTCCTAGCAGAAAGTACCTCTTCGTACTTCATTCTTCTGATGAGTGTTCGAAGAAATTTGCTACTATGTCTGACATGTGTATTTAACCCGACTAACAGCACCCCTCGCGAAACCACAGTCCATCCGACACCGTTATCTACGCCTCAACATCCCTATCCCACCTATCTCTCAGCTGCGCCTTCCGACGACATTTACGACTCTCTCTCTTCGCGTATCGATTCCCTATTTTCCTTCTAGTTCTCCTGATCGCCGTAGCGACATATGCCCGCTCGATGGTCCTTGCCCGTCGCTCCGACGCTGCCCGCATCCCTTCACTGGTGAATATGACTCTAGATCGCCTTGCCACGCAAGCAGCCTTGCATGCTCGTGGCGAAGCGCTGGAATCGTGGATTTCCGTTGGCCAGTTGCGTGATGATGTTCTGCGGGATGAGCTGAAGGGGAGTCACCGGGAGAGGTTGTGGAAGCGCGTTCGGAGCTTCGTGGAGGGGAATGCCAATGTTCGTGCGTCGGTGAGAGAGGGGCGGACGGGGGATGTGTCCAGAGTTTGGGAGTGGGTTGGAGGGATTGGGGGTGTTGGGGGTGTTGGTGGGGAGTTGGGAGATAGTGCTGTTAATAAAGGGAGGGAGAGCAATGGCGGTGCCAAAGTGCGATTTTCTTTATCCGCAGCGGAAACAAGTGGAGGTAGTCCTGTAGCTGGTATTAGGGAGATGAGGAAATGGGACGAAGGGAGACCTATTTATTGATATTAAGGCTTTTAATATTTGTATTCTCTTTTCCTTTCTTGTGTCCTTGTGTACATCTCTACGTCCCCTTTTGTTAAGCAGTTTTTGGATACATGTTGTGTTTTGATGTTAAACAGCACACTCTTTTATTTATTTATTTATTTATTTATATATTTATTTAGCTTCAATGCCTTCTATTCTATTCGTTATCTTCTCTTTGTTGAAATTGCAGACTTGATTGTTTTACATTAACTTACCACAGTCACGAGAAGCCCTTCAATCTTTCTGGTTTGTATTTTTGTGAATGGATATGTTTCTTCACGTTCTCTTCATCAGAGAGAATAATGTGTTGTGTTTTGTTTGTTCCTTTTTCCTTTCATGTGTCTCTTGAGAGCGTGTCCATGGCTGGTCTCTTTAGTCATTTCAGAGCTTGTTGTTTTTCCTTGCATCATCTTAAATCCTCATCATGACAAGAACAGCTGTTGCCAATTTGTTTTACTGTCATGATTATTTATTCTTCTTCATCTGTCTGATCAAACTGCTTTCTGCATCTTTCATCGCAATATTCATGCATTAACTACTTCCATATATTGTTTGTAACGCGTCGCCCCGAGCGACACCCCTCACGTGATTCAGCGTACATATATGAATGCTTTTCCCTCCCAATACGAGATCAACCATCCCACAGCAGGCTTGCAGTAAAATTTCAACATGATTCCGCACAATTGGCTCGGTCGACATAAGCAAAAATAGCTATATGCATATTCGCCTGGATCTGATAAACAGCTGTGGTTGGCTGTGCGATTGACGGAGCAAAATGTTTTATTATAACTTGGCAGTTTATGGAAAAAGGCATCCCGAAAAAGAAAATCCCTTTGGCGGATCTCATTTGCTAGCCTGGGGAGGCTGTTACGAGAACAATCACATGGGGATCACCTGATCTTGACCGCGACTTGATAAATCTTCAGTTCAGCCGTTTGTAGCCCCCTTAACAACTTGAAAACTACCAAGGTGCCAGTTGTGAGGCCGCATCCGTGGATCAGATCTCCGGCGCTTATTTTGGGGGGCCAACGCCGTGGATAGCCGTCTGGCTTGTTCGGCGAAGGGGATAAACCCCCACTTTGGGGCTCGAAACGAGACAATGACAAATCTGAAAATAACTAGTTAGCTAGTTAACTAGTTGGTTAGTTATTTGATATAACTAGTAGATAGGAATTACATTTGATGTTTTCATGACCGTTTCAGCATCGAATTTACCGCGGGTCGAAGTAAAAAACGAGTCAGGTACGTCCCGAGGGAGTTGTCAAATAGGGTTTAGGGTTAGGGCTTAGGGTTAGGGCTTCTTATTTTTCATTTCCACCTGATATAGTTATTGTGAACTCTTAGGGCCTTGATCAAACCTGTTTTGTACTATATAATTGAAAACTCGATCACTGAGCAAGGTGCCCGAGCTGTTAACTGAAATTATCT